ATATTTATTTATTTAAAATAGACCCATTTATATGCCCTTTTGAGGACATACATCAATGTTTTAATTTACTAGAACTTATGACACCACACAAATCACTTAGGAAAGTAAAAATAGTTTTCATAAACTCAATTATTATATTTTTAGAAATTTTAATTATTTTATAATTTTTTATGAATTACTTTTGTTGGGAAAATATGTCGTTTTGTAGGGTTTTAAGAGAGATAATTTGAAGTTTGAATGAATGTTTGGAGTGAAAGTTTTAGGAGGAATTGGGTAGAGTTTAGTGAATGATTTTTTATGAGATTTCTAGTTGAAGTTTAGAAAAGATCTCACCGATGCGATGTTTGATGTTGTCCATTTCGTCCGCCTCAAAGTAGCTTTCGCGATCACCCTATGCCTCAACCACGACCGGGTTTACCTCGCAAAGGCGCACAGAGAAATTTGTATGAGAATTCAAATCAATATGAGAACACAAAATATGGCATAGATGTGAGAGGTAGACATGTACACACATGTATTCGAGAGAATTCTGCACACAAATATGTGTCGAACGAAGTGTTATACTTGTAAACACATAAAAAAAAATCTGTGCATATATGTTTTTTAAGTGAAGTGTTTAGACATGTAAACAGTTAAAATTTAAGAGAATCTGAACCGCATATATTTTGAAGTTTATGTTAAGATTTTCAAAAAAAATCTGAGGCTTATATGTTTTACATAAACATAAAAGGTTTTAAAAAAATTGTAAATTTTAGGTGTGGAATATATAAATGCATGAGAATTTTGTGTCATGTATGTAAATTTCCCATCGGGTCGCATGTTACATTCATGATTTAATTTTCCCACCATTCATCTACATTTTTATTTGTTAAAAGTTGACGTCCGCGGTTTAACTGCTTATCAGCGTAAGACATTAGCCTATAAAATTGATTCTCCATCTCTCTCCCCCTATATCTCTCTAAATTTTTAATAGTTCCAAGGCTTTTCACCATTTGTAAGTTCTCAGGCTTATCTGCATCTTTTCTAACTAGCAATTGAGTAATTTTGCGTAAGATGTATATCTCGGAAAAAAAATTGATTTGCATCAAAATAAAAATTTGTATTACAGCTCCACTTCATATATATATATATATAAAATAAGTTAATTATATAACCAGAAATAAACAAAAGATAAAAAAACAAAAGAAAACATCAAACCAGAAATAAAAAATAAGTTAATTATATAAACATATAAAATACCATTCTTAATATCTTTCACCATGTTTAATTATAAAAACTATAGCCTTCTTTAGTTATTTTTCTTTTATTTAGGAAGGTGCTACATAATCAAAAATTTTGATTGGAGGATACAACCTCCGAGCCATGCACCCATATACACACATATATTATGTAACTAATGTAGAATATTTAAAAATTAGAGAAATTTATATACATACCACACAATTCATTGAATGTTACATATCTAACGCCTAAAGTTTGAAATTTGTATTTACAACACTTTAGTGCTATAAACTTATGCATAAAAAAGGGGCATCACTCATAAAAATTTAATAATACTGATTTTTTTTTAATGTGAAGTTAAAGATTTGAGTGGTATGCATATAAATATCAAAATTTAAGTGTTGGATATGTAAACATATAAGAATTGTGTGGACTGCATGTAAATGCCCCATAAAATTATTTAAACCATTTTGGCCTGAATGTAACAAACATGCCACAGAACTAGGCATCCTGTAACTTCTGAGCGCCATAATAGAGTAATTTATGAGAAGAGAAATCAAACTTAGCTAATAAATTAGTGAGTCTTACTTGCTCAGAGGGCAGTGCTCGCAGTCCTATTTCTTCTGCAATATTCTTCGAGAGTACTTGGACCGATACCTTTTCCTCAATAGCTTCTTATCCCTGATTCCATCATAAAGAAGTTCATGCGCAAAACAGGATATATAACCTTTTCTCAACAACTCTTCTAGCAGTATCTTAGGTGCTGCAATTTCTTTCTTATCACTACTAACAATGGTGTCCACAATCTCTGGAACAACTCCATGATCCACCATTCTATAAATAATTCTGATGGCCTCTTCCACTCTATGATCCAAACAGAGACAATTCATCACTCTCCCGAACGTCATCATCGACAGAACCAATCCATTACTAATAGCTTCCATCAGGAGTTCATTCGCACGGTCAACATTTCCAATCTTGCACAAACCAAAAATCATAACACGAAAAATAAACGCATCCTGTGAAATTCCCTTTCCAATCATCTCCAACAAAATTTTCTCTGCCATCTCCATCATTAGCTTCTCACAGAATGCAGAAATCATTACCTTATAGGTATCCAGTGTAGGGACACAATTCTCTTCCTTCATTTTCCTAAACATTTCATAAGCTCCATCAACATCATTATTCTGGAATAATCCATATATCAATGTGTTAAAACTAACAACATCTGCTCTTAATCCATCTTTTTCCACCATTTTAAGGAGGTCAACAGCCTCCTTTACACGACGAACCTTGCAAAGGTTCTCTATCAAAATGTTATAGGTAATTATGTTAGGCTGAAAACCCTTCGAAACCATTTCTTTGAAAGTTTCCAAGACGTCATTGCTATTTCCAGACTTACAGAGCCCATTTAGCAAAGAATTATAGGTGACTATATCAGGGGTGACGCCATGACTCCACATCCTATCAACTATTTCCAAAGCTCTCTCCACATTCAATCTTTTGCAGAAACCATCTACCAATGTGTTAAAGGTGAAAACATTGGGTAAGAAGCCTTTAGCAATGGCATTATTCATGACTGTGTTAGCAAGAGACATATTCCTCATTTTACACAAACTGCTGATTATAATATTGTAAGTCCAAGAATCAGGATTACAACCATTTTCTATCATTTCATTTAACAGATCCAAAGCTTGCAAAATAAGTCCCTGACGAGAGAGCCCCTTAATGAGTGAGTTATACAAAACAGCATCAGGTGGAAAGCCTTTGGTTAAAGCCTCATTGAACAGTTCTATAGCCCGATTTATATCACCTTCTTCGCATAAACCATTGACCAATGAGCAATATGTCACCCCATTAGGCACGAATCCTTTGAAATTTGCATCTTTCAGGCATTCTGTACCCGGGCTGATTTGCAATACCCATCAATTATTGTGTTGTATGTGAAATCATCAGGAAAGCATCCTCTGTTTACCATTTCAAGAAGATAGCTCTCCGCTTCATCAACCTTTGAGTTCTTGCAGAGACCAGAGATAAGCGTATTATAAGTAATTACATCAGGAGTCAGATCCTTATCCAATAACTCAAACAAACTTATAGCCTCCTTTATCTTGCATACTCTGCAAAGGCCTTGAATTAATATATTGTATGTATACAAATTAAAGAATAAACCTCTCTTCAAAACTTTTGCAAGAAGCCTGTTGCTCTCCAAGAGATCTCCTCTTCTACAAAGCACATGTATAAGTTTATTAAATGTAACTATATCAGGACAAACATATATACTAAGCATCTCATCAAACAACTTGCATGCTTCAAACTGGAGGTTTACTTCATACAAACCACAAATAACAGTGCAGTATGTGATTGCATTAACATCAAACCCTCTTCCTGGCAAGTTCCTAAGTAGCCTAAGGGCTATGTGTGGCCTTCTTGTTCTACAAAACGATTTTATCCTTATTGTAAATGTATAAACATCAGGGATGATTCTTTTCTCAAGCATTCTAAGATAAACTTTGTGAGCTTGATCAGTGTATCCGTATTCAACTAAAATGTTCATAATAGTATTGTATGATAAAACTGTGGGTTCACAGCCAAAAAAGTCCATTCTCTCAAAGGTGTCCACAGCATCTTGAATCCTCCCCTTCACCCCATACTTCTTCATTACACTGACATAAATGTCTTCAAGCAAAGAGTTCTCCACATTCATTCTCATCTCCGAAATTACTCTATTCATGGCTTCGAACTCCCCATGTAGACCAAGTTTTTTCACCATGCACTTGTAGGTGGAGTGATTGTGCTCAAACCCATTATCCTTCACAACAGAAGTGAACATCTCTAGTGCCTTAAGAGGATTTTTCTGATATTTTATAACAGCAATCACATGCTTAGGAAGTAATATGTGGCTCATTACCTGCTTCAAGCTCTCAACTAATTAGGCTCCTGCAAATTACCAATTGGCTAATGAAACTTTTACCAAATAGGAAAGATCATGACAATATCAAATTAGAGAAGTTCACAACTCCCAAAGGATTATCATATAGAGATAGAAACATTGAACTAGTGATTAATAAACAATTATACCTTGTAAAAAAAGATAAGAAAATGAGATTGTAAAGCAAAATGCACAAGTACACAATGATATATTGAATTATGCAAGTAATGATCAAGGTTGGACATTTATACGCGTAAAAATGAAACCTTTGAGTGAACAAAACAAGACTCGTTTATAGGCTTCTCCGAAGATAAAAATACACAAATTGATAGTGATTTCCGTTAGAATATACCTGGTGCCTATTATAAATTCTATAAAACACTCACAACAAGCGCAACATTTTTTTAGTTTCCCTAAATGAACACCAAAAACGCGCCCCGCATGATGAGTTATGTGCTCACTACTTATTCTGAGCTAAATAATATCTTGGAGAAATGATTAGAGCAAAGAATGATTACATGGTATGCAGTATTAAGGGGTGAAAATGCTAATTATCAATCATATTGATAGAAGATCAAGTGCAAGCCATTCAAATATTTTGGAGCCATTACAAGAATAAGATAAGAATAAAATTAAGCGAAAAAAGAAAGAGACGTTCCTTGATAAATATACGATAACTATGGAAGATTTACATGTATATCACTCAATTCTTCTGTATTTACTTATCTAACACCTTTAGTTTAATTTTTACATATATGTCATCTCACCTATGCAAGAAAAGGTGTATTTTACTTTTAAAGGTTAAAATAGTGATATTTTTTTATGTTATATGAAAGTCTTGGGTGGTAGAAATATAATAATAATCAAAGTTTAGGTGTTAGTTTAGGTGTTAAGTATGTAAATATACAAGAATTGGGAGGTATGTATATGAAGCAATGCATAGTTTTTTTCTCAGGCTTTCTTACTTCACAAGAAATCCTACAACTTCTTCTCTCATAGGAACACGACAGCTTGAGTTTACAATTTCTCAGGGCTTTCAACTAAAGAGGTATATAACATCCCTAAAACCATGCCATTATGCAAACTCTCTCCCCAATGAATGAAGTATAATTGCTAAAGGTTAAAAAAAAAAGCTATAATTGATGGCTCTCGACTAATCTTCAATTAATTTTTTTTCTTTCAAAATCTCAGTAATGAAACCACATGAAGGTGAAGCAACAAACAACCTCCCCCGCAATCACAGTCACGGACATACATTGCTAAGAACCAAAATATCTATAGATATAATGCAAAGGCACAGCAGAGAAAGCATAATCTTTAAGCAAGTAATAATATCTAACTAAGAAAATGAACTCAGATCTAGCAACAAAAGAAAAAAACTATGGAAGAAGAGAGGTTTGCCTTACCTGTAAGGGCCAATGGGTGTAGAAAAGGAAGATCAAAGAGTATTAACCGATTCTCCTCAATCTACGCAGCAGCGATCACCGTCAAGCAACGAGGGGGGGGCGGGCGGGAATAAGATGACGGCTGCGTGTGTGGCATCCCTATTCGTCTAGAGCACGCGATCGGGAGAACTAGGGCAGGCTTTCGTGCGGTGTATCCGGCTGTAGGAGCAGCGGCAGAGGCCGAGAGGGAGCTTGGCCTCACGATTGGGCGTGCTAGAGGGGGAGACTTCCTCTCTCGCGTGAGAAACAGGGTGTTCGGCAAGCGCAAGAGCGGCAGGGAAGGTCTCCGGCGTCAGGAAGCAGGCGAGGACCGCCGGCGGCACCAGAAAACGAGGGAAGCCCGCTAGTGCTTGAGGGAGTATGGCTCACGGTTAAAAAGGAGGAGGGTGGTGCTCGGTTGACTGTTTTGGTGGAAGAAGGAAGGATGGTTGGCGGATGGCCGTTCGCCGGCGAGGAGGAGCGCCGTCCGGCAAGCTCGGGCACGAGAGGGAGAGAACGGCGGGAGGAGCTAGGCCCGGCGCGTGCCCTAAGTCGCGATCGAACGTTGAGAGGGAGGGGCGTGCGTCACTGCTTATAAGAGAATTATTATTATTTTTTATTATTCAGCTTTTTTTGAAAATTATATTTTAATGTCTGGATTGGTGTGTTTTAACATATGTAAGAAATGAGAGCAATCTGGGTGTTATGGTGTTACGGAAGTGCTCACACAGCTTATTTCGTCTTTCGGGCTTGTTCGGACAAATTTGTCGACAATCACGCTAAGTTGTGTCAGTTTTGCACGCGACGCAATAAATGAAGTTTGTTTGTCAAACCGGAGCAGTCTGATAAGCAAAATATCGACTAGTATTTGCCAAGTCACAACCAAAGTCTAGCAGAACTATCCTGGTAATATGACTCTCAACACGCGCCAAAGAGTACCAAATTCATGTCACGAGAGCTTTCATTTTATTTAAGTTTTGACTTCAATTTTAATTAGTGGATTGTATGTGCACTGTAGTGTGAATATGCATGTGTGTGAATTGTAGTGTGATGTGCATAATGTATGTGTGCGAATGTGTACTGTATGTGTATGAATTGTGGTGTGGATGTATATGGTGCAAGTATGTGTGGTGTTTCAAAGGTATGAAACCCCACGATACAAGGGTCTCCTTAAGGTATCACTCATCCTTATTCAAACTCATCGTGAGTTTCAATGCGTTTGTCTTATCAACTAAATCAAGTGTTGAGGATTTAAAACCACACAAATGAGACTACGATGAGTCAAAAAGTGGTTTGAATTTCTAATTAGTGCGGGTCTCGTCACTAATCTCTAGAAGAGTCATCAGAAATGTCCTATAGCTGGATCCTAAGCTCTAGAGAGGGAAATAGATCTCATAAAAATGGATGTCAACAAATGGAACCCCAATAGGTGTGGTGTGTTGAACAAACGCACCGCTCATATTGATGTTGATCGAAGCGATCAACAAAATCTAAATGATTGTTTAAGTGAAGACACATGGTTTCTCAAGTATACCAAACATATCTAAGGCAAATAAGAAAGTTAACATTACAACAATCATATTCTCGACTGAAATGTATGTCAAGGAAACATTGATGAACAAGCGACCTTTTTTTTCTTAAATTAACAATGATAAAGTATGCTTTACACCAACGCAAACAAACAATTAAATTGGACAAAAGCAGTCATGATAACACAGTTCAAATTTAACAGCTCATAAGCACTGACGTGAACTAAAAAAAAAATTAAGTTTCATAAGATTGTAAGAATGAACACATAGTCAACTGTCTAATCATAATCAGTACAACTAAAATTAAGTAAATTTAAGAAATCAGTCCAAAATTGGAAAAAGAAACATCATACATCCATGATATTTCCAACTAACAATCACTTTTATATCCATGATATTTCCAATAAATTTCGTTCGATGACCCATAGACGTTCGTGGGTCGACCGGCTGACCCTGGCCAAGTCGACCAGCATTCGGCCCCCAGGTCGAATGAAGATATATATTAAATTTAGGTAAATATTATGAAACCTTGCCAACTTTGATTAAAACTTAATTCTGTTAATTTGAGTAAGATTTGAATGATAATATTTCATTAAAATATCTAAAAATAATTGTGTTTGTTTAATGACATATTTATCGAAGCATTGATTTAATACTCAGTAAATAATTATTAATAAATTCATTACTCAATAATCAACCACTCCACTAAGCTAATTAATTATTAATTAAAAAAATTTAAACTAATTAAATGTTCTTTAATACTCTAATATTCATTAAATAACCATTTATTAGTCTTGGGACATGTACTTGCATCCCAAACAATTTTTATATATTTACTTATCTAGCACCTAAATTTTTATATTTACATACATGCCACTCAAATCTTTAATATTACAAAGAACAAATGAGGGTTAATCATGGAGAAGAAGCACTACTACTATTATAATAGTCTTTTGCTTCCCACTTGAAGAGATCATTCCTCCCTCCTCACATCTACAACATAACTTCTCTCCAAAATAACTCAAAATCTTAAGCCCTTCTCCTCTCTCTCTCTCTCTCTCTCTCTCTCTTTGCTTACTATGATTGTGAGATGCCTCCATACAATGGAATAAGGAATCGTCTTCTTTTATGGAATTAAGAAGCATTAGATGGAAAATTTAAATCTATTAAGTAGGTGGTGGTGGATAGAAAGTAGATAGATGAGAAACTTATAAATTTTGTAAATTTTATAAAAATGATAGGTAAAGAATGATAAGTAGCGAATTTATAGAAGGTAGATAGAAAGGAGTATGTGAGAAACTTATAAGTTATAGAAATGTTGTTTTCATATCTAAACACTGATTAGATCAAAGCCTACCCTAACTAAACTTAACCCAAGGGTAATCTTCTATGCTCTCCTAAAGTTTGTCTTGACTAAGTTAGGATCTACAAAATAGTCTAAAACACTATTAATTATAAGGATAGATTGGCTCAACTTTGAACAAGGCCAAACAATCCAATATTGACTACAAATAAAAGAGTTTGTAGCACTAGAAAAGAGACCAGTATAAATAAGATATAACACATGAAAAATGAAGTTGACATGACTAAAAATATAATATAATAGATGTCCTCAAAACATCATATAAAATAATATTATATGACATGAATGTTTAAAAATAAAAATTTGTTGTCTATTGTAATGCATTCATAACCCTCATATAAATAAAAGAGATGACTAATTGATTTATATGTTAAGTCATTTATAAAGTTACAAAACAAAGAAATAGATGACATAATGTGATAATAAATGCAAGTACACTATAAACATACATGTAATGCCATTTGTCTATGTGGTCCCGTAGTGGTGGGGGTATCACTTGTGCATGAAAAGCTTAGGCTTGGCCACATGCTGCATAGAAAAAAAATAGTTTTTTTCCATCCTAAGAGCAAATTTCCTTTGAAATTTGTGACTACTGTGTTTAATGCTTCACATGTGGGTGGGGTCCATCATAGCAAGTGCAGATTAAAATATTCAGATACTTTATATGTATGATTCTAAAATAGAATTATATTTATTTTATTTGCTGTTTTAATACAAATGTTATAAAAACATATTTAATATGCAAAATAAAGAAGATTACCTAAATAAAGTTGACAAGTTATAATACATCCAAATTTCAATGGACGCTTAATTATAGAACTCTAAGAAAACATATTATACAACTCTTAAGAACTCTAAGAGAATTTTGGTGAAATTTCATAAAAAAGAAAATTTGATCATTTTTTTTAATGAAAACTCTTAAAATTAAGCTTTAATTAATCGAAATTAAAATGTTAGGGAGGTCAAGTCGATCTCAAATAAAATCATCCAAGCACACAACCTTAAAAACTATGCCACTTACTCTCCGTTTAATAAAAAGTGATGATGGAAAAAATAATTTACTAGAAATTTATGTTGGGAATCATAAATATACATATTTTTTTTCAAAAAATCAGGTAATAATTTATTATAGCAATCGTACTTTAACGGAATATGTTGAAAAAAACAACTTCCTACCACCAAAATTTCTAAAAAACAATAAGAAATCAATTCCTCAAATAGAACTATGACGATGATGTGAAATACAAAACAGTAAGAAAGCTATGTCAAAGTGATTGAGAGGCTGCGATGATCAGCATTGCCAAATATCTTTGCGCACTAACAAGAAAGTTGGTCTTCAATTGAGCATATTAGGGAGAAGCTATCAACGTAGCAGATAAGGAAAAAATATTGTGTGTGGATGAGGTAGCTGCAGATTGATGGTGTTTTAGTGTTATTGTAATGTAATACTACTAGAATATCATAAATCAGCAGGTGCAATGTCGGCATGCAATATTTGCTCCACAAATAGGAGGAAGAGGCTTTATTTTAGCAACTTCTAAGATATTGTTTATATATATATATATATATATATAGTATTATATATAACTAAAAAATTGATTGTAATTTATCAAAATTCAATTTTCACGTGAAGGATCTTGATTATCTCAAATAAAATAAAATAAATAAATAAATGAGATTGACAAGTTGTTGCTAACGGGCTCCCCCGCCCCCTCCACCTTCCCCTCCGCTCCTTTCGCTTTAACCAACACATACAATCTTTTCATACTTCCCTACTTCCCTCCTCCCATCTCTCGAGTACTCCTACTCCATTGAAGCCATGGAAGCCATGGCCGCCCTGCTCCTCTTCGTCTTCCTCTTGCTCTTCCTATGCGGCATCTTCAGCTCCCTCATTTTCCCCTTTTCCCAGCTCCTCTCATATGTCCGCTCCCTCTTCTCAAAAAATGCTTACACAAATGATGATACAGACAAGAAGAAAGAAAAATTAGACCTCCAAACAATCTTCTCCAGCTTCGATACCGACAACGATGGCTTCATCTCAAGGGAAGGGCTGGCCGAATCCCTCAGCCGGCATGGCTTCCCTGCCACTGAAACTGAGGTTAGGAGCATGATGGAGAAGGTGGACGCCGATGGCGACGGACTCATTAGCCTCACTGAGTTCAAAGAGCTTTACTTCGGCATGTGTGGAGATGAGAAAGGAGAGGAGGAGAAGGAGCTGAGAGAGGCATTCATGGTGTTTGATGGTGATGGCGATGGGCTGATCACAGTGAAAGAATTAAGCTTGGTGCTCAAATCTCTGGGTCTGAAGCAGGGAAACAGTGACGACGACTGTAAGGAAATGATCAAAAGTGTGGATTTTGATGGGGATGGAAAGGTCAACTTTGAAGAGTTCAAGAGGATGATGGCGAAGGGAGGGAAGATATTCTAATTATACTATCTTTTTATTCATCTTTTTCTTTTTATTTTCACTTCTGATTTTTGGTTTTTAAGTGTTAATTGGAGTGTTGATAGAGTTTTGTCTGGTATTGTACTTAGCCCCTCTGTTCTATTTTATCTGTGTGCCAGGCCCCCTATTTGAACTTGATGGTGAATTAAGCAGAAACATGTCTAGTTTTAATTCTTTTAGTTTTTGCATACTTGGGGGCTATTTGGTGATCTATTTTTGACAGGATTTAAGCAAATTTTAGATAGAATTCTATCCAATAAATGCATGGGGACTTGAAATTTAATTATTTAAAAAATGTTTTAATTTTATTATTGAACTAAACAAGTATAATCATTCACTGGATTTAAAATACTTCAAAAAAATTTCTCTTCATAAATATAAAATTCTGAAAAAATAACTACTAATTTTGTCTGTATGCAACACAATTTAACAGTTTTCAAATTTTAAGTCCCTCAAGATTTATTAAAATTGAATTTATAGAATTTGCTAAACCTTGTTGAAATTGAAGCCTATTTGAAGCCAAAAAAAGGACCTTAATATTATTTTGATTTTTTTGTCATGCTTTGATGTAATAAACCTGGGTTATTTATGTCTTTTAAGCCCACAAAAATATTATTAAATTAAAAACGAGTCCTATAAAGCAAATACAAATTCAATGTGGAAGTAAGATATTGGATGTAGAGATGTTCTAAGCTTTGAATTGGACCTCAATTAAAGGGAAAGAATAAAAAAGCTGAAGCAAAAAGCTTTTATTTAAAAGATCATCTCCAAACTCAAAGAATCAATTCCATTATCCATAAGAAATCCAATTCCAAAAACTCTCAGTTCTTCTTTTATTATCAATGTAAATATATTCAGAATTCGTTTATAAAATGGTGTTATCAATTATATTAAATATACTTATTTATATTGCTTCAGGTTAAGCATTTCATAATCCGACTTGATGATGCCATTTAGCATACAAACCTCCCTCTATTCCCATTAACATTTAGGAAGATTTACATATCTGACACCTAAATTCCAATTTTTTACTTACATGCCACCTTTCCTATGCGTGAAAAGGTGTATTTCACTTTTCAAAAGTTAAAATGTGGTATTTTTTATGTGATACGAGGATTTGGGTGGTATCAATGTAAAAAAGTAGAGTTCAGATATTAGATACTAAATACATGGAATATGGCGGAATGTACTGTCAAAGGTTTACAGATACCAGTGAAGGAATGAAAATATAGCAAGTTTATTATTACAGGAAAAGTTCATCAATATATTATTCACCTGCAGCATATTCATTTTACACTTGAAAGTCCAAAAAATGTCAAGAATTTAGCCACAAGGATTGAAAATTACAAAGTAGTTGTACATCCAGGTACCTGTTATTTTTAGCCGAACCATCTCAGAAGTTTCAGACCTGAAGAGCCCTCTTCTTTGTGTTCTTTCTGAACATGATTAACTCCTTTAAGAGCACAGCGGCGAACAGTATTCATATGTCGCCTCAATCTACCATTGTCTGCTATTGTTTCTGCAAGCAATTTTCTCATGTTGCAGCAGTTTGCCTCCAGATCATCAACAGTGGAGGTAATATTGTTTTCTGAGAAAAAATTATTCGGCAGTGCCAGCCGTTCAGCCTAAAACACAGCAAAACTGTAATTGGTTGCAGGTGACTTCTCTTATAAAGAATAGATATGCAATTATAGTGAGATCAGAAATGAAAACTTTGATTCCTATAGAGATAACATTCAAATTTTTAACACCAGATTAAAAATATCACTATTACTAATTTTTTAAAAGTATGATACATTTTTTCACGCATAAATGATACAATTCATGAACATAAATGAACTAAACAAAAAGATATTCGAATTTGTTCATTTTGTAATCGATTACTTAAAAAATTTATTAAGCTCGTTCAATTAGTTAATCAAATGAACACGAACGAGCTTTAATTGAGCTGAGCCATGAGTAACTTATCGAATGCTCCGTTAATTTAAAGCCTTGTTGAAAAAAATTGGAGTTGAAGATACCAAGTCCCATATAAAAAGTCCAATATTTCTACTCAATAGGCTAGAGTTGAAAATTTTAATTAAAATTATAATTATGAATGAAGCAAACACATTGTACCCCGATAATGACTGTGTTGGCAAAATATCAACAGAAGGGATTCATTTTAAAAATAAAGCTCTTAAATTTTAAATGTAAATTTAAAATATTAAAAAAACTTATCATCTAAAATAAAAAGCAAAATAAAACTAAACTCCACACTAGTTTATCGAGAGCGGTAAGTTTAAATTTAACTTATGCTCACAAAGAGTCAAATCTATTACACGGACAAAAAATAAGTTTAAAATCAAACTTAACATGCATTAAGAAGTGTGCAAATATTTTAAATTCACAAAATTCTATTTTAAAAAATCAATTCAAAATTATTCAATAGTGCATTCTCTCAAATGAACCAAGCTGATTCTCTTTTTCATAAGAACTGGTTTTAGCCAGATTTCTTCCTCTACAAGCAATCAGCCAGAGTTAACAAGATTTAAATGAAAATAAAATCATTTGGATGCCCAAATGATGGCTATATTGATAGAAAATCTAAACCAAAAGGTTTCATTTTTAAAAACAAAAGTTCTTAATTATAAATAAAATTTTAAAAATTTCAAGTAAAATTTATCATGAAAGTAAAGAGCAAAATTCATTCACCTTACACATCATTCACCTTACACATCATTCACCTTACACACTAGTTGATTGACAGTAGCAAATTTAAAATCAACCAAACTCATAAAGAGCTAACATCATATTGTGCACCTCTATGATTACGCTCAATTTCATGTTAATAATGATGTAGCTCATATCCTCAATCCACATGATTTACTGTCAAATGACATAGCATAATAACAGCTACGATCAGAGCATTGTGACTAAATACTTTGTTAAAAAATGATATCATTAAATTACGATCACGCCTGCAGCCCATAAATTCCGTAATGAATTTGTCTCTTAAATTGTGAAATATATGAAGCACTAGATAAGCAAAAAAAACTTTTTTATAACTAAAATTAACTTAAAATTGTCCTTTTAGTCACACCTCCTCGGTCATACCATGTCCAGTAATCTGGTCTGATCGAGTTTTTTCTTTTTTTCTCTTCGCTTGGGAAGTCACCTCGACTACCAAGGGAGATTTTGTTATTCTTTTGGATGCATCCAACAAGTGAATTGTGCATTATTGGCGCAACACGCTTGTTGAGGGTCCTTTTTTGGAATCACTTTTGATGTCGTTCGCGTGGGATGTCCACATGAGCGCAACGGGGTTATATTTCTTGCATGCCCTATTCCTCATAGCTCTGGATATCTGTCAGAGCCTATCGATGTACTCTTTGAAGCTCAAAAGATGAGCATCCACTCCTACGAGGTGCCCCGTGGCCTCCAATCATCGGGTCGCATTGAATATTTCAAGAAGAAAATTTTGCCCCGGGCGCGCTTGTGTCGAACCTTGGGCACACCCACTCCTTCAATCCTCTGGCGCACCTGGGCCAGAGTAGGTGCGCCAGAGTCTAAGCGCACTGATCACGTTGTGTTTTGGGTGTGCCTGCGCTAGACCCGTGTTGGACGCATGTCGACAGGCACAGAACGCGGTGCACTCACGCCGCGACTCCGTCGCACCTGCGCCGCGACCTCGGCGCACCCGCTCTAAACCTGACGCACACGGGCCGCAACCCCGGTGCACCCGCGCTAGGTTAAAATCTTCTTTGATTTTGCTGCCCAGGATTTCTGCATGGAGGGACCTTTGGTACAATAAATCAAGCTATTATGCATGTAACCAGGGGATTAAGGGATTTTACCACATTATTATGCTAATAATATGGTTAGATAGAAGGGTCATTGGTCCCATGGGTGAAACCATGCCCAAAAATGGCAAAAATGACTTCCTTAGTTATGGTCCCATGGGTGAAAGCATGCCCAAAAATGGCAAAAATGACTTCCTTAGTTAAAGCTAATAGGGGAAATGTCTCCATATGCTGGGGGATCCAATTTTTTTCGGCTGAGAAGAATTTTTTGGCTGAGCTGTGGAGAGCCCTAGGGAAAATCAAGGAGAAGCTTCATCTCCTTCTTCATCTTCTCTTCCTTCTTCCTCTTCAAGCCCTTCTCTTCCTTCTTCCTCTCTACTTTAACTCTTATCATCTTCTTGAGGGAAGTGTGAGGAAGCCCTTGAAAAAGCTGTTTGGGGCAAAAGCTTCGCATCATCTTTGGAAGAGGAGAGTTTCATCCTTACTTTGGAGAAGGAAAAGATTAGCTTCGGCGAAGCGTGGTGGGAGCTCGAATCAAACCCAGAGAACCTGCGATCAACTTTCGAGTAGGTGAAATCACTAAAACCTTTGCAATTTCTTTCTTAGCAAGCCCCTTAGTTCTGGTTGATAGAGAGATTAGGGTTAGGTTTTTGTGTTAGAAGAAACCGCTAGGTTGGGGAGCTTTTCATGGACTGTCCATACGAATCCTAGAGATTTTTCCTTGATCGTTAGCGCATTGACATAAGTGCCTCGGAAGCACAATAATCTTGTTATTGTTCGACCGCTTCACCTCTTGATGAATGGGTTGAAGCCACTTCGATCTAGAGAATGAGGAAATCATTCGATCCTAGTTCCCTAGATTGCGAAGGCTACATCCACAAAGAAATCTTCAATTCATGAAGTTTTCCTTCTGCAAAAAAAAAACCCTTTGTGTTTTGTCGGACGATTAGAGGTAAGCCCTCTATTATGTTGCATAATGGGCGGTAGCTATGACTTCATCGATAGCCCTAAATCCTATGTAAGTTCAATAAGACGTGTTTGACTTGCCATCGAACGCGGTGGGTCTTGTTGCTTGCGTGCCTTTTGTGGCATTTTGCATGTGTTATTGTCGATCAATTGCAACGGTCTGATTGACCGATCAACTTGGTCTGATTGGCCGCCTCGACTCGATCGACCGATCACTTGGGTTTGATTGACCGCCCCAGCTGGATCGACCGGTCACTTGGGTCTGATCGGTCGTCCTGGCCTGCTCAATCGATCACCTTGGTCTGATCTATTGCCCCGACCCGATTGACCGATCACCTTGGTTTGATCAACCATCCTAGCCCGATCGACCAAACACTTAGGTTTGATCGACCTCCCCAGCTCCATCGATCGATCACTTCAGTCCAGTCAACCATTATTTGCTGACTTTGTTTGACTAGTGCATGCTT